AATCCAATTATATCCGCCATATACTCAATAAGAAACAGACTGTTCACTCTAACAGAAAGAGGTGCCAATACCTCCATTAATATGTTGTTGTTGTTGTTGTTGTTATGTGCCATCGAGTCACTTGCGACTCATAGCCACCCTGTGTACAACAGCCTAAACTCTGCTCTGTCCTGTGCCAATCGCACTGTCTCTGACACTCCCATCCCAATTATCCCAGTCACTGAATCAATCCACCTCATAGAGGGCCTTCCCCTCCTGCGCTGTCCCTCCACCCTCCCAAGCATGATGTCCTTCTCCAAGGACCAGTCTCTCCTCACAACATGTCCAAATAGTTTTAGTAATTTTTTTTTCCATTAAAATTTGACATACCACAAACATTGAGCACCTGTCATGTGTCAGGCAGGCTTCTAGGTGCTGGAGATAAAGCTATGGCCAAAATAGACTTTTTTTTTTTTTTTAAGTCCATCATGTTCTCAGGAATTTAACTTCTGGGTAAGGGAAATGGTGGATGGAAAGAGAGGCAAGAAAGAAAGTAAAACATGTAATACATTAGAAAGTGCCAACAGGGCTGCCACATACAGTTGTACAAATTGCTCTTTGCCCAACCTTGTCCATGATAATGCCATTCCACCTCACTTTGGGCACATGGCCAGGAGAGACCGGTCCTTGGAGAAGGACTTCATGCTTGGAAGGGTGGAGGGACGGTGCTGGAGAGGAAGACTCTAGATGAGCTGGATTGATACAGTAATTGGGGCGATGGGGGTTGGTGTGTTGGGATTAGTGAGACTGGCTCAGGACAGGGCAAGCTTCAGAGCTGCTGTACATGGGGTCGTTGTGGGTCGCAGGTGACTCAACAGCACACAACAACAATGCCATTAACACAAACTACGGAAAATGGAGTTGTTACTAAGTAAGATGTGGGAGACTCCAGCAAGCTCAGAACTTCTATTTGTCTGTTTTGAACCTTGATACTGTGTCAGAGTTACAGAGGAAGGAGCACAGAGCCGCATGCAGCTCAGTGAACTTTCACAGGAAGAGTCCTGGTGGCACATTGGTTAAGTGCTTGGCTGCCACCCAACAGCAGCTCCAGCCTGCTGACCACTGTGCAGGAAGAAAGGCCTGGTTATCTGCTCCTAACAAGGTCACCATTGAGGAAGCTCGGGGGTTACAATCTGTCATTTGTCTCATCGAGGGTCACTCCGTGATCCGTGACATCCTTCCCCTTGTCTAAGAGGGTGGCTGTTAGATTCCCCCAGTGGAGAGTTACAATTTTCTGCTTTGTAATTAATAAGCAACCTGTGAAGAAAGACGGAGACTATGTTCATGGCCTGTGTGGTTTCTCGTCAACCTTTTTTACTGCCAGAATCTGATAGTACTATGATAGTTCCTAATGGTCATTTCCTATTTCTTTCATCATTTCCACATTTATTTGCTGGTGTTCTACAAATTCATCTCTGTAGACTTTACCTTAAAATGAGAAGTTTCTGGTAGTTTAGTGGTATGAAGTTGTGCCGCCAACCCAAAGCTCAGGTTCACCAGCTGCTCTATGGAGAAAGTGAACAATCTCCTCCCAAGCAATTTGGTGCCTCTGAGAACTTGCTGGAGGGTCTGCTATGAGTCAGTTCTGACTCAAAGGTACATAACCACAGCTGCCTTAAAACAAGTACATAATTAGCAACAGGTGTGGAAAGCAACAATTAGTTCTTCAAATACTGTGCCAGATTGTCTAAATTCAAAGTAATTTTCTCAAAACTACTGGTATCCACTGCTATGGAACAGATTAAGTTGCCAAGCAGAGAAGTGGTGATAGAGAAAAAGCAGGAAGACTTTAGCAATCATGTGCCCATCCTACTTGACTGTGTGTCTTATGTTACCCTACAGTCTCCCCAACAGTGGGAATCACTTTTCATTAGGTCAGCTTGATTCCAGTTCTTACCAAAAGCTTAACATGCCTTTGGAGAATTCCTAGTGAGAGGTTTGCACTGGAGTCAAAATAAGTTCTCGAATTAGGCAAACATCTTCATCTCCTGAGCCTTAGGAATATCATCTGTAAAACAGTGCAATGCCTTCCAAGTTACAAAGCCTTCTTAGAGGGGCACAGTGCTTTAAGGAAGTCAGTGGTTCAAACCTACAAACCTACCAGCAGTTCCTCTGGAGAAGCTTCCATAAAGATCTACAGCCGTGGCCACCCTGTGGGCCATTTTACTGTGTCCTTCAGATTTGTGATGAGTCAAATCTGCTTAACAGCAGTGGGTTTGATTTCTTTGGGACTTGAGAATCAAATCCCAGGATTGCCTCATTGGCATGATGTCTTGGTCAATATGAAATGTCCCTCGTGGAGCCTGAAGCTAGTGACCCAGGGATTGAACCGGTAATGCAGCTGAATTAAACATGAGGATGCGGCCTGGAACTTGATACGGTTTCATATCACCTTTGTGCGTGCAGCCACATCACCTGACGCACGTCTCTGTTTCCTTGTTCACTCCTGACAGTCGGAGGAACGGGCTGTGGGACCCCTGACCTCACCGTGCTCTGAGGAGGTCCCTCTCAAGGCTGGCTTGTCCTGCACCCGCACCTCTAAGGTTCCCCCTGTTGCCATGGTGTGAGTACAGGCAATGTCCCATCCTAGGGCACACAGCAGTTTCTGAGGAACTTTTATTCTCAGGCGTGAAATTCCAGATCAATTTTCAAGTCTTCGCTTAATTTCACTGCATAAAGTTACTGAAATTTAGCAAACAGTAGTATTCTTGGTTGATCCATTGTTTAGGGATCAAGATGCGTAGTGTTGGATTTCTAGAGCAATGGCTGTTGGGCTGCGGCCACTCACTGGCTGGAAATCCACACAGGTAGGCGCGTGGCTGCCTTCCCGGTCTTCTGGAGCTGTCTCCACCTGGTACTGTGCTTGCTTCAGTTCCTCATTTCAGTATTTTTAATGTTTAATGACCCTTCTCAGAGAATTATTTGGCAGCTTCTGTATGCCTATCTGCTTTAGTCTTTATATCTGTCTGGCCAAACGTCCATTTAGTAAATTGAAAAGTCAGGCCCTAAAATAGTGTTCAGATGACTCATCTAAGGTTCTAATGAGGCAAAGGGGGATGTGGAGTGTCTGGTAAATTTGGAAGTAATTGTCAGTATCCCCCCCCCCCATTTTATCATAATAAAATAAATGACACATGTTTTCTTTTCTCTAAGATGTTAAGACAATGGATTGAGTTGAGCATTTTAACTCTGGCCCAATTTCAAAGAGTATTTGAGCCTCCACCCCAACTTCATGAGTTCCATTTTCTTTGAATCGAAGGAATTTTCCTTTTGAAAATTTAATCTTGACCAACACCCACCTCACCTGCTGGGTTAACTACTTAAACATCTTTCACCAGATTAGAAACGACTGTCTCTTGCCTGAGAGACAGAGGGCAATTGATTCTTGCAATCAACCTGCCCTCTCTTTGATTTTATAACCTGTTTCTAGAGATTATAGACGAGCTTTGAATTCCAAGGCTCTGGGCTGTCAGCCCTTGAAGCCAAGAACTTTGAAGCCGTTCCAGGCCTCAGGTTTCCCTGGGGATGCCTGGATGTCTGAGGAAAAGGAGTTTTCATGCCATAGTCTCAATGAAGCACAAATCATGGTTGCTGCGATGTCCTGCCCTGGGTTGTCTGCTCATCTCATTGTGTGCTTGAAAAAGAATTATTCCAAAAGCTAAATAATTAGGAGAATTCTTGCATTAGTTTCCTTTTGAACCCTTGAAACTGAAGAGCATTATCCTTTCAGAAATCCTTCCTGAGTACTACTTCTGTAAGCCTATCTATGAAATGTTCTCTATTAAACTCCTTAATCACCCTTCTCTGATGCACTTGGGTTAATGAGGAAATGTCTCCAGCTCAGATTCAACAGGTAACCAGTAGCTGCCAGGGGGTTCCAGCTCACAGGTCCCCTACAGATAGTGTAGACCTCATTGGGTTTCTGAGCCTGTAACTCTTTACAATAGCAATTACCTCGTCTTTCTTTCTCCAGCCAAACAGCTGCTCTGCTCAGCACTTAACCACTGCACCACCCAGATATGTTGATTTAACAGGAAGAAGGGGGGGAAGGGATTACAGGCGCATCCAGACCCATGATTCCCATGTTCCTAAATAGTCAACTGATTATTCCTGGTTGACACAGTGAGGAAATCATGTGAAATTATGTTAAACTTAAGTAACACAGTGCAAAATATATATTTCATTAAAAATATAAAGATCCCCTATACCACTCATTGTTGCGATACTAAAGCTCATATAATTATTACATACCCCCTGCACTCACACAGTTACACAGCCAGGCTACTGGAAAAGCATTTTTTGTGAATAAAAGCCTTGAGCGTCTGTTTTTCTTCAGAAACTTGAAAGATGAGAAGGAAAAATGAAAGGAGATAATATGAAAAATTATAAACTGGAATTCCTCAAACTTCAATATAAAGTACACTGAGCATTTGCTGCATTTGATTTTTAAGACTTCACATTTTGGTTATAACAGTACAAATATTAATTCAATAATGTGTCACTGACACAGAAGTGAAATTTTATCTTTAATAACAGTTGCAATATGTGTCTACAAAAATAACCACACCATAGCGGAGGGGGTGGATTATCTGAGGAAAACATTAAACAACTAATCTTGGGAAATCTGCAGGACTTTACAATTAATTTGGAGAGGTAAAGATTATTCCATGAGAAGTTATCTGACTTTTCAGACTCAAAGTCATTCATGCTTCCTCCTGAATGCTGCTCTCAACAAAATTCACAGAAGCCAATTAAAATGTGAGATCTGAGTGCAAGCACGCACGCGCCACACACACACAGTGGCTCTCCTAAAACTCACTGAGCTCTCCTCCCCCTCTTTACCGGGCAATGGTATGATCGTAAACTGGAGGTGCCACGCGGTGACAGCTTCCCTCTCCACAACCATCTGCTTCAACCTGGGGCTGCTCGGTGCTCAGGGATCTTTGCTCTTCCACCCGCAGGGGCAAATCGAAGTGGACAGCGAGACCACCTTCAAGTTAGCCGCGCTCGTTCTGCAGGTAAGGATTAACCAACGGGCCGCCCCAGGCACCTTCTTGTTTGTTGCTCTTATTAACTGCCGGGGACACAGACTTTTGCCTGGGTCAGTGGCTCGTGGATTTTTAAGCCAATGAGAAGTGTATGCCTTGGTTTTCTGTCTCAGAGTTCTCTGCATGGGCTCTGCTGTGACATTACCTGTTTCAAAGAAAAATGCAACTTAGAGCTCTCCTAGCAGAAAGAGTTAAAAAGTTTTTCTGAGATACTTGGATTTGGAAGAAGTGGTTGTTAACAATATCTGTAATTTGCATATTAATATGCAAATTACAGATTTAGCAACTTTGACTAGATTGTTTTTGCAGGTCAGATAAGAATCCTTTAATTTTTAAAAACATCAATGAAGTCTTTTTCCAGTCTGATATAAAAAGTGACGAGAAAACAGTATGTGTTGATTTACCTATATTTAAAAGAGCTGTAGTCACTTAAAAAAGTCTGCATCCAGTCATTTTCCACCTGACTGTTAAGAAACAACAGGAGAACTAATTATTTTCATCTCTTCCACGCAGACTAAGTGTCTCACGGGTGCTGGCTTTTCCTTATCAATGCACAGCCAGGACAGCGTCACTCAGGCTAAAACTGCAAAGTCCCATTTGGACACTAGTCAAACAAATTCAGGGATAATAATAATAATAATAACTCATTGAATTTGGATATAAATCACATATTATTTATCTTTTCCTTTTCCCCCCCAGGAAGCCAAAGGAGATTATACCAGGTAATGTTTCCTTTTCTGATGTTAGCTATGCAAAACAGCCCTAGCTGAATTACTCAGTGCTGTTATTTTAAATCACAATGTGGGTGAAATCAAAAGAAAGTAAATCCCAGGGCCCGGGACTGAAATCCCTCCTCTGTTCTAACAGGACCTCCAGGTCTTTCTGTGAGTCTAAGAGAGATGCCTTCTTATAGTTTTCCTAGCCAGAGTGGCAATGAGTTATGATCAAAAAAACTTCCCCAAGTTCTGCATACTGTCATCTGTTCACAAGTTGAGGACGTCCATAAAATAAACGTTGGTGGCTTGAGTTGGTGCTTTTTAAGAATAATAATAATAACCCTGTGTTTGAGGAGTTATAACGTATGCACGAAAAGATTAAATCCATCAGCTGCTTAGTTAAGGGATTAATACAGGGCTTTCTGTTTGCAGCTGCCCCAAAGGGGCCTCACCCTTCATACACTTGAGCTGACAGTTCCATTGTTGCTGCGAGACACTTGCTGGTTCTAACTGTCTGACTGGCTACAGCCCCAGAGCAGAGTGTTTACATTTGAATTCACTCCCTACCTGCCCTGTTCCTTCCTTTCAATGCAGTAATTGTACTTGCAAAAGTAGGAACTATTCATGGTTAATGCTGGGCTTCTGATAAGAAAAAGCTCCCAAGCTAAGGATCCTTTGGAAAATTGAAAGCCTCATCTCTGAAGTGTTAAGGTTGGATTCCTGGATGACTTTATCTGTAGATTATTTACAGATCATCCAGTACTCACTCCCAGCCCAGGCCTTTGAATACTGTGTTCTTAAATAATGCCTTTCAAGTTTGAAGCCCACCAGTCCTCCTTCCTCGCCTGCCCAGTCGGTTTGGTAGGATGGTCAAGAATCCCACTGTACCACACACCACATTTTCCGCTGTTGTCATCTTGTCCTCAGAATGATCCTCTTTTAAACTTAAGATGCTCTGAAGGAATCATGTAAATCAATTAACACTAATTTTTGTTGTTGTTTAAAGAAAAATTGTTTGGATGGGGCCCCCAGGGATAGACTAGTTTCTAGGTCATTAACATACACCGCCCAGAGCTGTTAAATCCTTGGATGTTGTGTTTCTTGGAGGAGCCACATTTCTTGTCAGATCAGCTATGCAAGGAATGCAGTGTTATGGGAGCGAGTCTGAAGTAGGTTTACAGATGGGAGCCTCAGGGTCAGAGACTCTGCCCTGCAGCCTGTGTGGATGCTGACCGTCCTCTCTGTGTGGACTGTGGCCATCTTCCTCCACTTTCACCTGGCGAAATATCAGTCAAAGCTCTGACATACCTGAGCTGCAGCTTCAGTGGCTATATGATGGCTCAAGTCACCTGATTCCTGCAACTCATGCACAATAGGATTGGACTGTTGTGATCTCTGAGGTTTTCTCTTGCTTCTTTTTGGAAGAGGATCACCAGGCCATTCTTCCTAGTCTTAGCATACAAGGTCACTGAAATCTATTCAGCATCACAGCAACTCACAAGTTTCCGCTAACACGTGTAAGGTTATCCATGAAGCACGTTGATCAGGAATTAAACCAGGGTCTTCTGCAAGGAAGATGGGAGTTGGGCTCCTCTATCACTACTCCCCTTGTGTTGTAATATAGATGTAATCCAGGAGCCCTGGTGCCGTAGGGGGTGAAGTGTATGACTGCTGCCCTGAAGCCACCTGGTAGCCGGGACCCACCAGTTGTTACTTGGGAGTAAAGACCCAGAGATCTGCTCACATAAAGATGTAGCTTTGGATACCTTCTGGGATCCTTCTGCTTTTCCCTTCAGAGTCAGAACTGACTTGCAGGCACACAATAGCAAAGCACACCCTACTCAAGGTGATTTCTAGGATATAGCAACCACATGTTGTTGATGGTTGTTGTTCAGTGCTGTCCAGTTAGAACTGGCCTGCTGACCCTCCAGCAGGTTTTCAGAAGCAATAAAGCACATGAGAGGAGACTGCCCATCCTTCTCTTGAGGAGCACCTGGTGGATTCAACCCATATTTAAGCTATTATTGTTATTTACTGTAGGGTCATTATTGTGCTTATCATCTTGTCTTATCTGGAATGTTGTTGAAGCCTTTCAATAACTATCAACGCTTATCAAAGTTCATAGATTTTTCTAGAGGTATGTTTAGGAAGTGGATACCACTCCTGTTTCCAAACCTGTCTTAAACTGGGAGCTTCACCAAACACTGTCCACCATGGGTGATGATTATGCCATCTGACACCTCAGTGGCACAAGGTTCAGCATCACAGCAACCCCAGGTCACCTCAGTACAGTATATTGATAGAAGAGTGCTGTACCACTTGGAAGAATGTTCCTCCAAAATATAATAACAACCAACTTTAAATACAAAAGCCCTCCCTGGGGTTTTGTTGACTCTCTACAAGAGGCTTAAATAAAAAACCAAGCAATATAGTATGTTGTTGTTATTGTTGTTGTTATGAGCCACTGAGTCACCTGCAATGTATAACGACCCTCTGAACCCTTCCCTGTCCTGTGCCAGTCTCACTAATTCTGACACATCTACCCCCATTGCCTCAGATACTGTATCAATCCATCTCTTCCTGGATCTTCCTCTCCTGCACTGTCCCTCCATCCTTTCAAGCATGATGTCCTTCTCCAAGGACCAGTCTCTCCTGGCCACGTGCCCAAAGTATGTGGATCACAAAACGTTGTAGTAATGGGTTAAGAGAAAGAATGGAAAGAAGGAATAATTTCACAGGCTTTCCTCAGGGAAAGGCACTAACCAGAAGATTAGTAGTTCAAATCTTTCAGCTCCTCCTCAGGAGGAAGACAAACAGTCCCTTCCCATAAGTATTTATAGCCTCAGAAGCTCAGTGGAGGGTCTCAGGAGTCAGGATTGACTCAGTGGCAATAGGTTGGGGTTTTGAGTTTCCTTAGGGACAGTTCCTTGCCTACAGTAGAAGAAGGTGCCCATGGAGCGCAGACTCTAGGATGTCCAGGGTACTGACTTGTTCTGGTTTGACCTAATAATCCACTTCTTTCCCTGCATGAATGGGAGAGGGGGAGGAAACTATGTGAGGTTGCTAAAACCATATTGAATGACAGAAGGAGAGTGAGATTGGGACTCAGACAGAATAGTATGTGACCCTGTGAGAACAAACATTTCTCCTTTAGAAGCCTCTGTTGCCTCATTTATAAATTGAGTTAATCAGGATAGTGACTTTGCCAAGTAGTTTTAAGGAGGAAATGAGCGAATTGGAAAACTGTATAAATTACAAATTATTTTGCAAGTATTCATTCTTGCTAGTAACTCCAGAAAGAAATAATGCAGAATTTAATTTTTGTCATTAGACTTAGTACAAAGCAGGATTTTGGTTCATTGCTACCACATCCTCCACATCTGGCCTCTTCCCCTCCTGAACAATGGGATTTTTTTCCTTCTCAATTATGTTGTTATAAAAATCATGTTTTAAACCATACAAGATAAAAATACTATGAGACAATATATACAGTGGTTAGAACAAAGACTCCAGCCCCAGCCCCACTCAAACCTGTTGCTGTCAAGTGGATTCCCATCACAGTGACACTTCATGAAGAAGCAGAGTATCCCCCAGGGTCTGTGAGGCTGTCATCTTCAGGGAAGTGGATTGCCACATCATTCTCACATGGAGTGGATTTAAACTACAGACCTTTCAGATGGCAACCAAGAGCTTAACCACTGTGCCACTACGGCTCCTTATGAAACAGACTGCCTCATTCAAATCCCAGGTCTGCCACTTATCAGCTAGGTAATCTTCGACATATTACTTAAATACATGAAGCTATAAAAACAAGATTAGTACAGGTCCTCTACCACCACTACAAAGATTAAGTCAGTATTTGTAAAGTACTTAATTTTTTTACCGTAATTATTGCTTTAACTTGTCAAATGATAATTAGTAGAATATCAGTTATTGTCCTGTCTTTTATGTGTGTAAATAATGCTATGAGTAACTATCTTTGTGTATTTAGGGCTGTAATTTTTAGTTCACTTTTTTACTGTGCTTTGAGTGAAAATTGATGGAGCAAATTAGTTTTCTATTTTATTAATGTCATTTGTTCTCTAAAGTGAGGTTTTTCTTAGGTAGGAGGAGCATTTTCAAACATTGGAAAATTCCCAAGAATTCCACACACTGAAATGGAATTTGTGTATAGGGAACTCTGGTAGCCCCTGAATCCCAAAGGCTGCAGGAGGATGGATGGACAGTCTCCCCTGTGTGACTCACAGCCTCCGAAAATCTACTGGAGGATCAGCTGAGGGCCAGTCTCAACTCGACAACATACAACAGTAATAACAGCAAGCTTAAATGATAAAGAGTTTAGTACTTAATTAAGTAAACATACACAGCATTCCTAAAATATGTCAGTATCCATCTGTGCATGTTCATTCTCACTCAGACTTGGTCTTACATCCAAAGACCAAGTCATATGCAAAATTTAGAATTATTTTAAAGTGAAAGATGCTCATATCAAACCACAGAATGGAAGGTGACTACATCGTTCTGTCGTTGCCAAATTATATCATCACCTAAGTGTAAAATGATGACCAAATAACTGTCAAACGAGTTAAACCTGTGGCGCAACTGAGCTGCCTTAAACCTTAACTCTCACAGTCAGCATCTCTCTCTCCTCACACCCCAGTGGGACAAAGTCACTAGTGCACAAAACAGTTGGAGAGTGGATTTTTCACTGTTGTCAGAACCTAGAAATGTTGAGGAGTGGCATGTACCTGTACCTCCAGGGAATTTGACCTTCTGTTGGGGCTGCCTTCCTGGTGGTCCCCAATCCCACTTTTCCAGCAGTTTCCATCCATAACTGTAGCTCTCGGCTCTTGGAATGCCACCAAGTTTTCCTGCAGAAATTTAAACATTGACCAGAGAATGTCCCTAAACACCTTCCTATACCACAGCAATGGGGCTTTTTCTGTGAAAGCAGTCATTTAGCAATATAACATCTATTTCTAAAGAGGGCTTTGATCTAGTCTCGT